TATATACAATATTTTGCGCGCGAGTTTGCTGTGTAGACCCGACCGGGCAAGAGTGTCGCAATGCGCGACGCTAATTACCGGCAGTAGACGCGTTACTATTCTTTCCCGGTAACGCCGACTCTCAGGGACTTATGAAATGGGTTCTCACACAATGCCTCAGCGTCTACCGTCCGACTCTTTCTTTATTTCGATGCGTATATATCACACTAGTCTCTTACGTAACGTCGTATTTACAGTCGTAAGCAGGGAATATGCCTAGAGATGCCTTAAGATCTAGAGCTTTCGCAGGCGCTCCCCCGCATTTTAACGGAAAATATATCTTGTAAGATTTCTTTTGAATAATCAACTAGAATAAATGCATCCGCGATCGACCGGCAAATGCCCGATTTTTCGATTTCTAAGAAAATTTGCATTTAAGCGATGCAAATATATTTTTCAAACAAGTGAATAATGACAAGTAGTTATTAAAATGTGATTATTGCGTAATTGTAAATTAAAGCTATCGCCTATAGCTGAAAATGCTATTCGCTGGTGATTTTGTCAATGCAATATTCTTCCCTCATTATTTATTTTAAACAGTTGGTTTTGACGCAAATCTCAACACCGTGAGAAAAATTAAATTTCATGCGATACCTGAAAGATAATTGTATGAGAAAATAATATTTTACTTTAGGAAAGAAATTTAATTATCTAACAATATTTCTTTGGCCGTACATTGATGCATCTACTCTAGTGTACGTAAATATATGCGCGATGACAGATGTTAGGAAGCTGTCGTGCAGAAAATCAGTCGGGCCGCATAGCGACGATTTCCCTTTCGCGAAACCGATTCGATTCATTAACGACACGAATGCGTCCATTGCGTGTGAAACGTTGATCCTTACGCGCATATGGACATATCCATTCGTCCACTACAAAAAAAAGATTACCGTTGACATAAGCTTCGCTGTGCTTAAATATGCTGCCGTGAGAAATTGATATCGTTCAAGGATAATTAGTAATGGTAAAAATGTAACGTAATTTGAAGACATATTACTGAAAGCATATTCGTGATTGTTCCGTTGACTTTCGTCGAATTTTTTGTCACTTTATAAAAAAATCCGTGTAAAAATAACAACTTTACTTTAAATTCTACAATAATTTAACTCGTATTTTATACTTGTAACGAGTAATATTTCTTCGTAAGAAATTCCTAACTCTAACTACTCGTTGTTTACATCTTCTTCCTCATGTCCTTTTCTTCCTCGTCGTCGTCTGTAATAATCTGCACGCTTCTGACTGGTCCCGTCTTTCTGTATCTCGACGCTGGTGTCGTGGTGGTCATCATGGATGCCGGCATTATCGTCGATCGTTCAGTATTGATTGCTAGATTTACCATTCGCAGCAGCAGGGCTTCTCTGATAGGTGCTGGCAAAATTTCGTCGCCATCGTCGGCTATGTCCTGCGTGTAGAATTTCTGTCTGTACACTCTCTTGGGATATCTGTCTTGGTAGTCGTCATACTGATGATGATAAATTGGGCTCAGAGCCCGAGGATACATCGGACGTCTCAAGGACACTCGATCACCGTATTGTGCCTGTTGATCGTACGCGATTTCAGGTCTCGGAAGTGGCGCCTGATAGCCCGCCGGATACGAAGGATATGGTTGTTGATCGTACAGAGCATCCTCGAGATAACTTTTAGGATACGACAGAGCTTGCACGCCGTATTGGCTCACCAACAGTCTCCTCAACAACGTCTGGAAGTCTCGACGACTCAGAGGCGGCGCGATCGGGTTCGGAGGCTCCGGAGGCAGCGGTAATGCGCCAGCCCGGTAGGGATACTCGGGCGTGGTCGTCGAATAGTCTCTATCATCAGGAACTACCGGATTCGGAATCGGCCGAAGGATCGGCCGTGCTCTCTGTTCGGGATCCGGATAAATCAGCGGCCGCATCATGGGACGCGGACGCCCGTAGTTTGCGTTCATCGCGATCCGCGCTTCATCTTCGGGATCGGGTAAGGGATTTTCTGTCAGGTAGTGAATGTTGGAATCCGTTGTGGTGGAATAAACTGACTGCTGATTGTTCGGAGGAGGCCGTAACAGAATTCTGCCTATCGGTATCGCTCTGTAGATCCCGTCCTCCTCGAGATTGCCCTGTTGGGCCTGCACGAGTATTCTAGATGGCAATTCCCGCAAATACTCGGGCTGCTGTCTCACGAAGATTGGCTCAGTTCCCTGTCTGACGTAGTCTCGATTCTCCGTCGGTACTCTGGCCGTAGTACTGCGAAGCAAGATCTGCTGAGTTGTCGTGCGTTCTTCCTCGGGAGATTTCGTTTCCGTCTCGAAAGTTCGAGGACCTTCGTATTTTGGACTATCGAATCGACCTGCCCCTAGATTCTCCTGACGATTGACATAGAACTTTGGTCGTTCTGGACGCGAAGTACTGGAAACTCTCTGGAGAACACGTGATGGAGCTGTCGTGGTGAACAAAGGACGTGTTGTGGATAAAGAACCACCGTAAACGTCGGGATGATCGTCGTTGTTATCTGCAATGCCGGAAGTTGATTTAGTTGTCTCATCGTGCAATTGTCTTCTCAAGCTATTCCCCGTTGTGATTTTGACCTCGTCTTCTTTCTCTACGAAATCCTCAGAGATCGGCGGGAGGCTGTGCTCGATCGGTCGCTTGGCGAAAATAATCCTTCGATAAGTGCCGCTCTTGTCATCCGTACTGGGTCGATTGATCTGTGAATCTTCATCTTCAATATCTTCTATCACGATCGGTCTCTGCTGGCCATTAATAATGAAACGTGGTCTGCTCTTGGACGTGCCCTTCAAATAATGCCCAAATATCGTTTTTGGCACCTCTGTGGTAGTGGTCGTCGTCGTCGTCGTGGTAGTACTAGTAGTCGGTTTTCTCGTTCGAGGAATCGACTGTACTACCGATGACTTAGTTGACGACTCTGTCGTCGTGGCGTATACAATGTTCGGTTTTTTTGTCGTTAACGTACGATTGAGGCGCGGTATACTTTGCACGACCGACACGTGTTCCTGTAATGGCGACATGGTAGTCGCTTTGAAACCCGTTCCATTTGACGAAGAGTATGAAACCCTTTTTATTTCACCATCGGCATCGACGAAGCCGAATGTGCCTTTAATGTTGCCCAGAACATCGCGACTCTCGACCTGATGAAGTAAATATTTTCCGTTCATTTCTTCATGAAAATGGCACGATTTTAATTTGTTTTGAATGAACATATTATCTGTCTCTTTGTTAATACAAGTGGTTAATAAATATAATTTTCAAAATATTTTAATTATAAATAATTATATATATATAT